AGGAGCAGGAGGAGTGGGACCATGAGCCTGATGCTGCCACGAGCACCCACACCTCATCCTGGCTGTGCTTGTGCCTGGGCACCCACACCTCATCCTGGCTGTTTGTGTCTGAGCTCAACACTGCTCAGAGGATTTGCTGCACCCACAACACACCTTCCAGACACTGCCTGAAGTCTTCCTGGGCCATCCCACTCCTAAATTAAAACGAGGAGCAAGAACTGTGCCATGCTGAGAACAGCCTAGAGAGACCTTGTGGGGCTGACATTCCAAAATTTCAGCATTGAAAACCTCCCACCCTCTGCACCAGCTTCAGCAGAAGAACAGGTTATTTCAGTTCTAAAAATCAATGCACCTTGAGCTATGCTAACTTTGCCCTCACTCAGCTCTGTACCCTGCCTGCCTGGGGAAGCTCTGGGCAATCGATCACCCAACCCTTCTCATCCCAAGGGGGTTCATAGGCAACAGCTCTGTCAAGATCAGGTAAAGGAGCTAAACAAGGCAGAAATAAGGTGTTCAATATTTTAATCCTCTGGCTCCAAATGAACTGTAGCTTTTTGCATACATACACATCACCTCAGTCTGTATTTCAGTGTACACTACAGGCAGGTTGAATGGAGCAGGACTAGACTTCATGAGATGAAAGAACAGCTCTAAGAGCTTTAAGCTTCTAAAAATAACAACCCATTTCCTGCAGTTTCTGGCTTTTTAGCCTTTACTGATAGGACAGGATTTTCTCCATCAATCCCATATTTTGGAGGAGTGTCAAGGAGAGCTCTGTGTGTGCAGGTAACACACCCACACTCTACAGTCAAATCACTGCAACACCACACGTGGATTCCAAAAGAATCACTGACTTTCTCTTTAAATTCAGAGGGAGAGTGTTAGAAGGAAGAGAAGAATCTTTTGGCCAGGCTGAGAAAGCTGTTTCCAACTCAAGTGTTAGGATTCCCTAATTAATTCCTGCCCCAAATAGCTCCTGTTTGCAGGACAGTGAGTGATGCTCCAGAGCTGTGCCATTTGCAGTGGAGGTTTTCATCTCCTGGGATTTTAATATTTGAAAAACAATGGCTCTTTAGAGGCAAAATATTTGTTTTCCTGGAGTGCATCTTTATCAGCTTCTTGGCAGGGATGTTTTAATGGCACACAGAGATGGGATGGGCACAATGGGAATAGGAATCTCACCCCCAGCTCCTCCAGGCTGAGCACTAGCTGTTTCCACATGTATTTGCAAGTCAATTTTGTGAAGCTGTTAGTGATAAATTGAGCTTTCATTGCTGGAAGTCCCTGGGTTGGAGTGAGAAATGGTTACTTTAAGACATTACCTCTCATTTTCTCTTAGGATGTCTTTGCCTTTCTTCCAAGAATAAGTAGGTCTGGGAGAAGCTTTCGGCTTACACTCAATGATGACTTCACCTCCCACTTTAACAAGAGTCAACTTCTTTAGGAGGGTTTTGGAAAAGTCTGGACCAATGGCTGAAAGAAAAAAACCAACACAAACCACTCAGAATTCCCTCTGGAAGAAAATAAAGTCAGACTCTTTAGAAAGTTACAAGACTCTAGGGCTGTTTGTCACCTACAGTTCCGAAATGATTGGACTTTATGGATGATGTCCAAGTGTGGATGGGGCAAACAGACACCTGTAAAGTGTAAACTCATCATGCACATCTCACTGGGGGCAGCACCCCTAAACCCACACAGGCATGAGGGGTACAAAGTAGTTCCTTTTGTGTGTCTTGAGCATCATTTTGTCAAGCAGCAGCACCCAGGAAAATTGTCACAAACACAGAACCCACCGAGTTCATCAGAAATGTTAATCTTGCCAGAAAAGCTCACCTGCAGCAGCTGGGAGACAAACCCCAGCAAAGCCATTTCTCTTAGGGCCTCAGCTCTTCTGGATATTGTTCCTGCTGCAGAAGAGTTGAATAAAGCATAATCCTAGGCTGGAAATGGGATGGGCCTTGTCATGCACTCGCATGAATCAGAGCTCAGTGAGCTCTGAGCTGTGGTGTCTGCTGGGTCTAATCACAGCCAGCTGATTTCACTTGGCACAGAGGAGACAGGTGTGTTATTAAGGACTGTGAGGAGCCATCTGAGACCAGCAGTGGCTGTGAAAAGCACTGCAGAATTAGAGGAGGCATCCTGGGGACACCTTCCCCCAGTGCTCTCAGAACCAGGTGCACTATTATTTATATCACATATTATTATTAATACATTATCACTTCTTGAAATAATTGCTCCGATGATTGTCCTGAAGGTATGAGCAAAATAGGTCTGTGAATAATCCTGTTATTTCCATCTCTCAATGAACAGTTCAGACTCATATTTTGTGAGTCATTTGCTCCTTCTTTCTCGGTCCTGTGTGAGGCAGAGGAGTTGCTCAATATGGTTTCATCCTGTGACGTTCAAACCATCATCATTTGGCATTTAGAAACTCAGTTCTCAGCGCTGTCACAGCTTCCCTGGGTCACTCCTGGGGTGATGCAGTTCATTTCTTCACCCCTTGTTGCAAAAATGAGGTTTTTAATGACTTTTTTCCCCCCATTCTAGGCCCACCCCAATAATTTTTGTTTTGAAACATTCAGTCTGAAGGTTCCTTCAGACAATGACTGTGTTTTGCTCTGTTTTGCACAATGTCCAGCAGAACAGGATTCTATTTTAGTTAGGCTCTAGGCAGTATAATTGGCAACAATAATAGGGCAGAATGAGAAAAGCTCTGTCTCTAATTTCCCATTTCTCCTTTTTCACTTAATTTTGCTGTAAGTCTCACTTGCTCTTGGTGGTGTTTAATCATCTCAACTGCTTGACTTCAGGACCTTTTAAAATAACCATTTTTACACTCAGATCGGTTTAAAAGCTCCAGTTTCTCAGGGAGGGCCCAGAATGTTTTCCTCCTTTGAAAACTTTAGTGAACATGCTTATTTGCCTTGAAAAACATGCCAAGTTAACCCCCAGATCCACAGAACACCGTTTG